AGCAAATCAGTGAACAAGATACCCCTCTCCAGCATTGCATTCACTGTTCACATAAAGCGAGAGCTCTTCCAGTTCCAGCAACTTCTTCCTTCCCTGAGTTCTTTCTGCGGTTCTCCCTGAAGATCAAGGGTAGCAACGTTTTCCTACAAAGAGCCACCTGGTAAATGCCTTCAAGCTCTGTCACAACTGCTCCCCTCTGTCACTGCAGTGTGAAAGCAGCTGCCGACAACGTGTAAATGGATGGACCTTACGCTGTTCCAGTAAAATGCTATTTATAGACAGTGAAGGTCGTCACGAGTAAATTTCGTATCATTTTCACGTGTCAGGAAATGTTATTGTCCTTTCCACTTTTTCCCCAATCATTTGAAAATGGAAAATAAAAAAAAAAGGAAAACCACATTCTTAATTTGTGGATTGAACCAAAATGGGCACTTTGGGGACTGCAGTCTGCCAACCCCAGCTCAAGACTGATGAGCAACCGCATCTTCCAGCAAAGCCCTAGGAGGGCCTTAAACAGAAGGTCCGAAGTGAAGATGTGCATTGTCCTTCGCGCGCTCACACCGATCGCCACCTGCCGGTCTGGCCTTCACAGACACAGTGCCACGCCGCTCTCACTCTGGAACCTGAGATGGCTCCCATGTTACGGTCCTGCACAACCAGACCCAAAGGTCACTACCTGGACTCCCGACATACCCATTGCCGAGGTTTGTCTGAGCTGCCCTCCGGCCCTGAGTGCCTAACACCCTTCTCGACCACCCACGTATGCCCTCCTGGAAGTGCAGCCTAGTTTGAGATGCCCTCCCTGAAACTTCTGTGACGCCGTCGTCTCTGACCTCCACTACAGGGGACATCCACGTCCCCAGCTGCGTTCCTGGGCTCTGCGATCAGACTGCTTGGGTTCGAGTTCCTTCTGTCACTTACTCGGTGACCTTGGGCGAGTTCTGGGCACTGTCTGACGGATGACATGAATAGGCCTTGCCTTCGAGGGTTACTGCGAGGGTTCGTTAAGGCGATGTGCGGAAGATGCTGAGCTCAGAGCCTGGCAACAGCAATCCGAAAGCATTCAGTAAATACTAGCTGTTAGACTTCTTCGTTCTTTGCTGTTTTTATAGTGAGATCACATTTCTAACAATAAAAAAAAGGCAAGGTATACCCTTTTAGGTCTATGAGAAAACTAAGCAGTACTATTGGTCACTTTTTTTATTTTTAGATTTAAAAAAAATTTTTTTTTTTGGTATGGAGTGTGTCCTCTTCACGGAGAGAGACAATGAGAGGGAAAGTGGGAAATGACCTCCTGGTGGCGGTGGCCATGCCGTAAGCCCTTTCCCTCCATTCTCCTCCTGAGGTTGTGGGCACACGTGTACACACACCTGGCATGATTTTTTCTTTAAATAATGATTTCATTTGAGGCCAGCAGCTGGTGTAGTGGTTAAGGCTCTCGACTCCCACTCAGTTCAAGTCCCGGACCTGGGGCTTGAAACTCACTCCAGCCATGCGTGCCTGCGTGGCCAAAATCCAAAGAGGAGAATGGAAGAAAAGGGGATGAATGAGGCCATCCCCCTGGGGAGTGATTCTCACTTTCTGTCTCTTCAGTGAGCACCCATGCCCTATAGCAAAAATCTCTCTTATAAAAAGAATTATTTAATTAAATTTTATTTGTGATTAGTATTATTTTAATTTGACTAGAGAGAGACAATGAGCGGAAAAGTGAGAATGCAAGCAGCCAGGTCCGGGACTTGAACCATAGTTGGCCATGTGGGAGTCCAGCGCCTTAACCACTACACCACCTGCTGGCCCTGTTGTTCACTTTTTCAGCATGTTGGACACGTGACACACACACACAAAGCAAAAGGCACAAACCACAAGTGTTCTGCTGGGGGATTTTTCAGAATTAGTGATTTTTATTTTAAGAAAAATCAAAACTAAGACAAACCCTGAGAGGAGAGAAGAGTGAACCATTCCTTTGGGAACAGAGTGTCACATCCAGAGGTGAGCAGTCTGGTCATACCCAGGGGACAGCCAGGGCAGTGAGGGGAAGGGTCACCAAATAGGCCACTGGGAAAAATCAGGCAGCCCAGCCTTCAAGGCTGCACTGCAAGGATGTCTCTTTCCTGGGCATGACATTGAACCCACTGGCAGGCACCTCTCTGGTTCCTCGGTCCCCAGCACGATGCTGAGAAGTGACTTATTCCAGGGGCTCCTCAGAGACTTCTCAACAGCCCCTGTCCCCAGAGGACGGCATTTAAGCTCGTGACTCCAGCAGAAGCTAAGCATTCGCGCATCATCATCGGGGCTCCATGTGGTCTGAGGAAACGGAACAGCACACGGAGTGGAGACTCATCCTTTGACGCAGGCATGTGGGCTCAGAGAGCTTGGGAGTGACTCAGCCTCACAGCTCCTGCCTCACCCAGGGTGAGGGGTGGACAAAGCAGCCCTTCCTACACACCTGCTTTATCCGTGCAAGACACCGGGCTGCCCACCGCACACACACGAGGCCATTTACGTCTCTCTCTTCCTCGTCTTTCTTTCTGTAAACTGCCAGAGGACGTGTATGGTCACCAGAGAGGGGGCAGGGGAGAAAGCACCCCCAGATGGGACACGATCATGCCACAACCCCTTCTCCTCCATCTCCACCCTGTTGGGATTTGGGCACACATGCACCAGCGTGCTTTCCAAGCTGCCCCAACCAGGATTCAAACCGTGGTCAGCCATGTGGGATCCAGCTCCCTTAGTGAGCTCTGTAACCACCAGCTGCAGGACCAGCCCAGTGTGCCTCCTTTTCGGCAGTAAGGGCGCTGATGCTGAGAGTGAGGAAGGACCTATAACCAGTTTACGTGGGACTGAGACCCACACGCAGATCCCCTCTGTGCTGCAGGGACCGGGTCCTAGAGAACATCCAAGCCCCTTACTTTCCACATGAGGAAGCAGAGGCTCAGAGAGGACAACCTGCCGAAGGTCACAGAGGAGGTTGGTGGCAGGCCTTAGCCTCAGACCCTGGCTCCAAGGCCCTGACCAGAGGTCATCCCTAAGGTCAGAAGTTAATTCTTCTCATTCATCCCCAGAAGTCCACAGCCTCCATGACTTATTGCAAAAGAAGCCAAGTAAACACTAGTTTAAGTCACCTGGGCAGGTGAGCAGGGGTCATGCAACGCTCTGTGAGGCTGACTTGCACGGAAGGTTCAGGTTCACATCCAGAGACACCCCACGCCCCCAGACACGCTGGTCTACCTGGTCTGAGGCCAGCTGAAGCTAGGGGTGGGCTGCAGTGTAAGGACCCTGTTTGGTGCTCTCTCTCTCTCATGGAAGAAATATGTAAATAAAACTTTTTTAAAAAAAATGGTAACCCCAGGGGCCAGCAGGTGGCTTGGTAATTAAGGGCACTGGACTCCCACATGACTGACCGTGGTTCGAGTCCTGGACCTGGTGGCTTGCTTTCTCACTTTTCCTCTCTCTTTCACTCTGTCCTTCTCTGGTCAAATTAAACTAACGAAATAAATAAATAAAAAGAAGTTAGACTTGTCAATGAAATCTAAATTTTAAAAAAAAAAGAAAAGGTAACCCTTTCCTCTCCAATCTGCATCTTCCTTCCCCCGCGGTTTCCGTTAGAGTAGCTCCAGCTGCCAGCGCCTCTGGGCCACGGCGTTTTCTACATAATATTGTAAAGGGTTGACTGTGCTCTTCTCTCAGGGCCTGGTCACCTCTCCCCGCCCAAAGCTGGGACAACGACTGACTTTCCTCTTCCCATCGTCCAGCCTGAAAGGCCATGGTGCAGACACAGGGCACCTTCTTTTCCTCCCTGTGTTCGTGGGTTCTTGGAGAGGACATCTCTCTCTCTCTGGAACAAGACGGCTGTGGTGAGATTTGATTTCCAGGGTTTGGCACTAGTGTTGCAGAGACGTAGGTAAATGTCACTCATGCAGATTTCTTTTTTTTTTTTTTTTTTGAAGGGGTTTTTGCTATGGGGGGCATCGCATCCCCAAAAAAAAAGAAAAGGTAACCCTTTCCTCTCCAATCTGCATCTTCCTTCCCCCGCGGTTTCCGTTAGAGTAGCTCCAGCTGCCAGCGCCTCTGGGCCACGGCGTTTTCTACATAATATTGTAAAGGGTTGACTGTGCTCTTCTCTCAGGGCCTGGTCACCTCTCCCCGCCCAAAGCTGGGACAACGACTGACTTTCCTCTTCCCATCGTCCAGCCTGAAAGGCCATGGTGCAGACACAGGGCACCTTCTTTTCCTCCCTGTGTTCGTGGGTTCTTGGAGAGGACATCTCTCTCTCTCTGGAACAAGACGGCTGTGGTGAGATTTGATTTCCAGGGCTTGGCACTAGTGTTGCAGAGACGTAGGTAAATGTCACTCATGCAGATTTCTTTTCTTTTTTTTTTGAAGAGGTTTTTGCTATAGGGTGCATGCACTCACCAGACGGAGAGAAACAGAGACAGAAAGCGAGAAATCACTCCCCAGGGGGGATGGCCACATCACAATCCCTTCTCCTCCATTCTCCTCTCGGGATCTTGGGCACACACGTGCACTCGCCCGGCGTGAGTTTCAGGCCACCGGGTCCAGGACGCGAACCGCGGTCGACTACGTGGGAGTCCAGCGACACAGCCATTACGCTAACTGCTGGTCCCACTCATGCAGATTTCCAGCCAAGCTTTCCCAGCTCTCTGCGTAAACTCTCTTCATGCTGTTTGAACAATATTCCTTCATGACATTGGACAATCATCACCAGGCAAAGCCCTAAAGGAGTACGGCCACTAGATGTATGTTTTGAGTCCCAATTTTATTAAAATAGGGAACCAGATGGAAGCACAGCTGTAAACGGCGATGCTCTGAGAGGTGGACCCACGCGGGAAGGGGCTACTCTGTCCTCCCTTTCCCTCTGCCATCTTCACCAGAGCAGCTGCAGCAGCCCCGGGATCAGAGGAAGCAGCACCTGAGACACTAACCATTTACCCCAGAAACCCCCAGCAGATTTTCTCTGATACCTCGCTGGCCCCAAACAGGTCCCGTGACGACATCGAGCTGCAAGGGAGCCTGAGAAGGTGGGTATGTGGAAAAGGCACATGGGGTCCGAGGACTGGCTTCTATCAGGGCTGGACTCACCATTTTTCTGAATAGATCAGGGTTCAGGGCAAATGGAGGGGAAGGTTGGTTAGGTCGGTAACATCCAATGTCCGCCCCGACTCACATCACCAGTGGAAAAGAAAAGCCGCTTAGACTGGCTAAGTGAGCAAGTGAGGGCTGAATCCCAGCGGCCCTCCCCAGACTGGACTCTGGGCAGCTGCTTAACCTCAGGTGCCTCATCTGTGAAGTGGAGTTAGAAACATCTCGCCCACAGACATTGCACTTAGATCGGTTTATGCATGGACAGTGCTGAGGACAGCGCCAGGTCCACAGCGAACACTCACTGAAGCCGACTCCTTGTTTTCCTTAACGCTAGAACCCGTCCTCCATCTTCCAAAAGAAGATTTCTGTAATAGCTGGGCGGTCGGACACCGAGCTCTGAGGGACGGCTGAGGGGCGGGGGCTGAGGGCGGAGAGGACGCTGTCTCCCGGGTGGATGTTCATAGAACCACCAGGCTTTGATTTTGCCTACAGTTCAGAAGTGGGACCGGAGCCGAATTTGGTCCTCCCTTGTTCAGGACGCAGCAGAGGAGAGAGAGGAGATTGGGAGCTTAAGATGCTTGAGGGAGGGGCCAGCAGGTGGCGTAGTGGGGAAGGCGTTAGACTCTCACATGGCAGACCGCAGGTCGAGTCCCAGACCTGGTGGCTGAAACTCTTGCCAGGTGAATGTGAGAGTGTGCCCAAAATCTTGAGAGGAGAAAGGAGAAAGGGACTGCAGCATGGCCACATCCCTCCTGGGAAGTGATTTCTCATTTTCTGTCTCTGTCTCACTGGTGAGCACACAGTCCTTATAGTGAAAATCTCTTAGGAAAAAAAAAAAGAAAAAGGTGGTTGAGGGAAACAGCGCCATCTCATGGGGATTTGGGTGGAGTTACAACAAGATTTCCCAGGAGAACGTCCATAGCTTTCCTCCATAATCCATACTTATCGATGCATCGTGGATTTGGATCTGCTTGGGAGGACTCAGTGACACACTGGGTGCAGTTTCAAGATGGCCAAAGGGGCGAACGGAGCCCCAGGCCAGCAGGA